TGTCTTGGGGCACGTACCTGCAGCCTGGGCCCAGGGTCCCACTCGCTCAGGCCAGAAGGCAGAGCCATGGCTCCAAACCAAAGCCAACCACCGCTCTGGACGGTGGCGGAAGGTCCCGCACACAGAGGCTCACAGATGCCTGGCACTGGGCTCAGCCCGAGGGGTGCCCACGCTGAGTCCCAGAGGCCGTCCAGCCAGGCCTTTCCCGGCGCCTCCGGTCAGGCTGGGCGACAGGCACACCCTTCCCGCCAGACCCGAGAAGCAGCCGAGGCTCCGGCAGAGGCGGAGAGCCACCGGACCCGGGAGGGGCCCCCTCTCTCTTCCTCTCCAGCCCCCAGGGGCCAAGTTCGTCTCCTGCCCTGGGTCCCAGGTCAGGGCCAGCCAAGGGGACTGCGGGGCAGGGAGGCGGGTCCTGGGCCTGCTGGGCCAGTGGCCGGAGCAGACAGGTGGCCACAGGGGCCTCGGAGAGCCGGGCCTTCAGTCACCTGTGACAATGGCACTGCTGCTCCCGTCCCCGCGGGGCCTGGGGCTGACAGTGGAGGCAGCGTGGAGACAGAGGACAATCCAGCGCGGGGACGCAGGCCCAGCTCTGCTGCTCCAGGGCCGGCCTGAGCCGGAGGTGGCGGGCGGCTGTCTCTGGCCCAGAGCTGGTCCTCAGCCCACCCACCCCTCCTCTGGGCCAGAGACAGCTCCAGCGCCTGGGCGCCCACTCCACACCAGGCTGCCAGGCCGGAGACCTGTGCCCAGACAGGAGAGAGCCATGGCCGCCTGTCTGCTGGGGCCGGCGCGCACAGCCAACTCCCCTGGAATCACCGTGGCAGCAGGGAGGACCTTCCACAGCCCTCACCAGGCCTCGGGGGGCAGCTGGGGCAAGATAGGGGCGGGGAGGTGGGGGGGGGGCGCCGTCTCAGAGCCGGAGCCAGCCTGCTCTCCGGGCCTCCGTCCAAGGTCGTCCGACTTCCCTGCGGCAGTTTCGGGGGCCGCCTTCCGAGGGGCAGACGGAGCTAAAACTCTTCCTACGAAAGCAGGCGGGCACATCCCCCAGGAGCAGCCACACCCGGACGGGGCGACCCGCACCCTTCTCTCCCCTCCGATCCGGAGCAGCCGGGCGGGCAGGCAGGAGAGCAGGGAGGACACTGCCCGCTGGGGGAGGGCGAGCCCCACTCTGCTCCCCTGTGCCACGCCCTCCGTCTTCCCCTCCTCCCCGTAGCCGCCCGCTCCTGGCTGCCACAGACGCCACAGCAAGAGCCGAGAGCCCGAAAGATGCCGCGTCTGTCCTCGGAGAGACGCTCAGGGCCCAGGGAGGACACGGCACCAGCGGAGAGTGGACGGGGCGGAGAAAAGGGGTGCCAGGCGGGGCATTCGGGGAGGGACCGGGGCGGAGCCGGTTAAGAAGCCGGCTTCCCCCTCTCCAAACAGCAAGCACAGCCTCTGAAAATAAAACGACGTTTTTGGCGTCTCGGCCACTGCTGGCAGGTGGGCGAGGGCTGCACATGTAAACGGGGGGGAGGGGGGAGGACCCCGCATCCCTGGGAGCTTCGGACGCAGAGGCAGCAGCAACAGGCAACAACCAATAAATAACAGGTGGTTACAGACGGTATAAAAAGCGACCTCACTTCCCGGGTCACAGAGTCACCATCGTCCGGTCAGTCCCCCGGCCACGCGGGCGGCTGGCTGCCCGAGGGCGGGGCCCCAGGGGACGGCCTCACGCAGCCCCCGACGGGCGGGCCCACGGGGCCAGGCCGGGGCAGGGGGGCCCTCCGTGGCCTCCCTGGTGGCCGACGGACAAGGCAGAGTTCTCCACGGCCCCAGGCCTCTCCCGGCCGGTCAGTCCGACTCTCCTAGAACAGAAGGTAGGTGTGTGTGGTTTGTTTGTTTTCTTCTTTTTCAACGTCTGTTTGGAATAAAAAACAAAAGCAGACGCGCGGGAGAGCAGGGGATGGAGCAGCTGCGTGCGTCCCGGGCTCCGTGGACGCCGGAGGCTCCGCCGGCGGCTCCCGTGGCTCCGGACAAGCAGAGGCGGCGGCGGCGGGGGCGGCAGGCGGGGAGGGGGCGGCGGGGGCGGGAGCCGGGCCTCGCTGTCAGGGCAGCCCCGTGGAGGACGGCAGGTGGACACAGGAGGGCGGCGTCGGGGCCGGGCCGAGGCGGCTCACGGCACGGGAGGAGGGGGTGGTGCCCGGGCATCTGGAAGACACAAGGAGGGGAGGCGGCTCAGAGCGGCTGCAGGGCGCAGAGCTGGCCGGAGAGTCTGAGAGAGAGGGTCCGCCTGGAGTCAGAGGCCCAGCAACATGCACAGCCCCGACCCACCCACTGGGGGCGCGTTGCATTTACTCTTCAGAAATAAATGTTTCCTACAGTATCGTCTGTAACAGCAAGATTACAAGGGAGGGAGGGAGGGAGGGAGGGAGGGAGGGAGGGAGGGAGGGAGGGAGGGGAGGGAGGGAGGGAGGAAAGAAGGGAGGGGGAGGAGGGAGGGAGGGAGGGAGGGAGGGAGGGAGGGAGGAAGCCCAGTGTCCACAATCAGGGCACTGGCTGGGTGGGAGGACGTGGCCATAGGATGAACCAGTTTGCAACCGTTAAGAACAAGGTGTGGATGGCTGAGAAGCGCATGAGAAGGTGAGACTCGGTGATGGGGAAACGCAAATGGAAACCACGAGACACCGCGTCGCCCCACCAGGATGACTTATTTTAAAAAATTAATTAAAAAACTAAAAAAAAGAAAAAGAAGCGGTGCTGGCAAGAGTGTGGAGAAAGGAGAACCGTGTCCATTGCTGCTGGGAGGAACAGCGTGGTGCCCCCTGCGGAGGTTAAACTCGGAGTTCCCACAGGACCCAGCGATTCCGCCCCACACCCACCCCCCAAAAGTGTAGCCGTAGAGACTAAAATACGTCCCTGCCCCCAGTGTTCACAGCAGCATCGTGCACAAGGCCAACAGGCGGAGGAGGCCCAGGGTCCCTCAGGGATGACGGACACACACGTGGTCCGTCCACCCAGGGGACCGTCCCTCAGCCCAGGGAAGGAGTGAAGAACAGACGGGAGGGACTGTGTGAAGGCGGGAGGCCTAATATCGCGGAAGAACCTTGGAAAAAACCATGCTGAGGGACAGGAGCCGGCCCCACAGCCCATGTGACGTGGGGGTCCGTGTTTATAAAATTCCCCCGACAGGCAGGTCTCCGCGCAGACAGCAGAGGCGTGGCGGCCAGGGGCGGGTGGCGGGGCGCGGGGGGGGGGGCGGGGGGGGAGCAGCAGGGAGGCGTTATTTTGGGGTGACGCAGACATTGTAGAACGAGATAGGAGGGGTGGCTGCACAGAACTGTCACTGCACTTCATGCCACTGATCGTTCACGTTAAAACGGTTAATTTTCTGCCCCGTGAGTTTCACCTCCATCAATTAAAAAAAAAAGAGAGAGAGAGAGAGGGAGAAGGCAGCCCGGGGAACAGCCTGTGACTGTCTGCGCCGCCCACGCCCTTCCCGTCACCGGCTCCACAGCCACGTGGCCTCCACGTCCCGCCCCCGCCCGGACGGGTGGGGGCGTCTGGCTCCACGGGGCCCGTCTCCCCATCGGGGGAGAGGGTCTGAACCGTGGTCAGGGCCAGGCAGGGGCTGTGTGTGTGTGTGTGTGGGCGGGAGGGGGGGGGTCTGGGCGAGTCGGAAGTCCCCATGGGGCCAGGGTTTGGGCAACAGGAGACGGAGGACAGGAGCCCCATTCTCTCTACCACTGGGCGCGAATGCTTCCAACACAGAAAACTCCCTTCATCCACCCCCAAATCCTCACCAACCGAAGGTCCCACCCTGGGACTGGTTCAATGAGGGCCCGCCCCCGACGGAATACTGTGCAGCCATGAAAAAGGCTGGTCTCAGGCAGCATTTGCTGGCAGAACCCTGAGTAGGACAGTGCGTTCCTGAACAGTGACGTATCCGGGAATGAGGGGACGCCAGGGATCTGAGAAGGCAAATCGATCGCACAAATGGAACGCAACATGGACACGGCGACTATGGGGCAGGCTCGGGGAAAGCCGCAGGGAAGAGGAGGGCGGTGGGGAGAGCTGGCGGGAGCTGGGTCTGGTCACTCGGAAAAGCCCACCCTGGAAATAAAGCTGCACCTTCTTGGCGGACATGTTGCTGGTGAGGATACAACACGCGTTTACATGAACATAAACTGTGCACCTATGGATGAGGACAATGGGGGGTGGGGAAAGGGCAGAGGGTGGGGTGGGAACCTGGTGGAGGGGGGGGAAATGAGGAACTTTTGTAATAATCTGAACAATAAAGATTGATTTTAAAAAATAAAAATAAAATAAAATTCAGGGGAAACAAACAAACACATGTTTACACACACCATGTGAAGGGGAGCCTGTGGACACACAGGGTGAAACAGTCTTTAAAAATCTCTTTTCTCAGCGCTATCTCCAAAAGAAAAAAAGGAAAAATGTTTTCTATGAATTGTTCATTAAAAAATAAAAAAACAAAACTGAACAACATATGGTCCTGAACTCATTGTTGCTGCGGGAAACACACACACATTTTCACAGAAGCTGTGAGAAAACAAAGAGTGTGATTAAATACATTAATGACGCAGCTGGCTTTTTCCTGGGGACAGGACGGGCCTCCCAGACAGAGCATTCGAACATCTTCGTGCGTTCTGGAAGCTTCTGCCCACCACGCCGCACCCGAGACTGACAGCCAGCACGTGCACATGCACACGCACACGCACAGCACGTGTACGCGTGTTCACGGCCGGACAGGACCTCGGGGCCATCCACTCCCTCCCCCGCCTGCATGGGGACGGCCAGGGAAGGCAGAGCCGACGCAGGAGAGGACGGAAGGAAGCCAGGGGGACAGCCGTCTGCCTGGAGGCGGCCCCAGCGCTGTGCCCGCTCTGCATAGAGCGGGCGGTGCAGAGAAGACCCTCTGCACCCTCGGCGACCCGTGGCCGGGATCCCGCCCTCCCCCCACTCCCGGCCCCCAGGGCCCTGGACTCACCGGAGCTGGGCGTGGACTATACCAGCCCGTCGTAGAGGGACAGCGCCTGCACGATGGAGGGGTCGGCCTTGGAGCCCTCCTGGAACTCCTGCAGCGTCAGCTTGCCGTCGGCGTTCTGCAAGCAGAGGCAGCGCTTAGCGGGAGGGACAGCTTAGCGGGAGGGACAGCTTAGTGGGAGGGACAGCTTAGCAGGAGGGACAGCCGCCTCCAAGGACAGGCGCTGGCCCCAACCCCTGGCTCCGGGCTGATCCCAACAGAGCTCCCCATGAGGCCAGGAGGAGGCAGTGCAGCCGCCAGGTGAGAGGAGTCGGGCGTCAGAGAATGCCCCCTGGCCAGCCACCCTGAGCCCAGCTCTCCGGATCCATTTTCTCCTCTGGGGGGCGAGAGGGCTGCGTGGCCTCCGAGGGGCCCGAGCCTGAACTGGAGGCGCCCCGAGCCCGGTGGTTACCGTAGGGCTGCTGTCAGGTCCCTGCACGGCAGCTAACCCCACAGGGTAGGCGCCGAAGGCATTTCTCCGGGTCACTCCTGGAGGGCACAGCGGTCCCTGGAGCGCCTGCCCGGGACCCCGGGAGCCAGGGAGAGGGCCGGCGGAGCGCACACACAGGGACCTGGGGGGTGTCTGGGGAGGGGGGGTCTTGGCCGGTATCCCTTCCCGGGAGACCTGTGAGCAGAGACCTCGGGGGGAGAGCATAGCCGGGGTTCCCAGCCCAGCGGGTCGTCCTCCCAGCTCGCCTGCCGTGTACCCACGCGTGCTAAGTGCACAGGCTGATCTCGGGGATCCCCACGCCTGAATAGGCGCTGCTCTCACCCCCATTGCCCTGTGAGGACACCGAGGCTGGGGCACCTACCCAGAGCCCCTGGCTGGTAACCAGGAGGCCAGAATGAACAGCCTGTCGGACTCCAGGGCGGCTTGGTTTCCCCGAATAAGGGAAGTCTGACCTCGAGATTTAAAGACTTTAGCACTGATTTCCATTGGCCCACCTGTGACATGGGCTCTCCCTGCTCCCCACCTGCACACGTTTTGATTATTAGCAAGAGAGCAGCGGAGTCTGAGCCTGCATGTCCTGACCCCACTCTGCTGTGGGCCAACCTCTCCCCTTTTTAAAAAAATGTTTTTGTTTATTTTAGAGCAGAAGGGAGAGGGATAGCGAGAGAGAAACATTGATGACAGAGAAACTCAGTTGGCTGCCTCCTGCACACCCCCTACTGGGGATTGAGCCTGTAACCCGGCTTGTGCCCTGACCAGGAATCGAACCAGGGACCTCTTGGTTCATGGGTGGATGCTCAACCACTGAGCCACACGGGCCAGGCTCATCGCGCTTTCTAAATGAAGGAAGCACAGGCCTCAGGCTCAGAGCTCCCAGCCGGCGGTGTACACAATGAGCCCGAGGTCCCTGTAACTGATATTCTTTCCCTGAAGGCGGGCAGCGCTGGGCTTCCTGACCACGCTGACCTCCAACCCCACTTAAAGCAGTTATGGGGCTCACAGGAAGTCTGACGGACAGGGCTCCTCTCCAGCGGGGCCCGGGGACAGAACCCAGCAGGCCGTGAGCTCAGAGGAGGAAGATGAGGCTGTTCTGTCCACCATCCTCTCCCTGAAACGCAGCTTTTTCTCCCAGGATGCACTGGAGGACGGTCCCCATTAGAAGCAGGGGTACCAGTGACCTTGCCAACTGTGGGGATCACGGGAAGGTCAGAACACGTCTCGTCATGGCTGCTCCAGGCAGCGCCTATGTGTATCATTGCTTCAAAAATATGGGGGTGGTTCCCTAACCGGTTTGGCTCAGTGGATAGAGCATTGGCCTGCGGACTCAAGGGTCCCAGGTTCGATTCTGGTCAAGGGCATATACCTTGGTTGCAGGCACCTCCCCTGTGGGGAGTGTGCAGGAGGCAGCTGATCGATGATTCTCTCTCATCGATGTTTCTAGCTCTCTATCGTTCTCCCCTCCTCTCTGTAAAAAAAAAATCAATAAAATATATATTTTTTAAAAGTATGGGGTGGCTGCCGGGACTGGTTTGGCTCAGTGGATAGAGCGTCGGCCTGCAGACTGAAAGGTCCCGGGTTCAATCCCGGGCAAGGACATGTACCTTGGTTGCGGGCACATCCCCAGTAGGGAGTGTGCAAGAGGCAGCTGATCGATGATTCTCTCTCATTGATGTTTCTAACTCTCTATCCCTCTCTCTTCCTCTCTGTGAAAAATCAATAAAATATATTAAAAAAAAAAAAAAAAGTATGGGGTGGCTAGGCCCAATGCAATAATTCATCATTAATGTGTTCATAAAGAGGCTACTACATCCCTGATCTTCTTAGAACATGGTGACAGCTGCATTCCAGAATAATCCACCTCCTTTGCGATCCTATGCACTTACTGGAGGGCCACAGGCTTCTCCAGAATGCCGGAAGGTCTGTCTGTGGCACCCACGGAAACGGCTGAGAATCACGGTTTGTGAAAGAAAAACTGTCCGGCAAACGTACTTAAAACAGCTGCCTGATGGGGATGGCCGCCCACCAGACCCCCGGCCACCTCACCGGGCCGTGCCGCCTGCCTGAGCCAGCACTGGGGACCCAGGCCCGGCCCCAGCTCTGCGCCTCCTCCCCGGTCAGCCCGGCTCCTCCCCGGCCTCACCTTGTCCATCATGGCGAAGATCCGGTCCACCCTCTTCTCAGGGGTGTTCTCCTCCTCGGGGAGCTCCACGGTGTTCCCCTGCCGGGGACAGACAGGCTGGGCCGGGGCCGTGCTGCCCCGCAGACACATCTGCCCCGCAGACCGGGGCTGCTCCAGGCGAGGGCGCCTCTCCCTCCCACGCCCCCCCCCCCCCGCCCTGCCGTCTGCTGGGAATCCGGGCCGTGGCCCTCACCTGGCCAGCTCACCCCCAGCCCGCCGGAGAGTGGCCCCACCGGGATGGGCCCTGTGGGCCAAGTGGAACCACTCAATGGGCTGCCCCTGCCCCCCGGTCGCCCACCCGCGGCCCCAGCGCTCACCACCATCTGGTAGATGGCGTCCACAATGTCCAGCATCTCGGTCCTGGTGATGTAGCCGTCGTTATCCAGGTCGTAAAGCTTAAAGGCCCCTGCAACCAACCAGCCGGCGGGTCACCCCGGCCCAGCGCAGGGGCGGCTCTGCGCCCGCCTCCCGCCCTCTGCCCCTCAGCGGAGACGGGGACCCACAGCCATGCCTCACCCGGCCTCACCCGGCCTCACCAGGCCTCGCCCGGCCTCACCTGTCCTCACCCGGCCTCACCCGGCCTCACCCAGGCCTCACCCAGGCCTCACCCAGCCTCACCCAGGCCTCACCCAGGCCTCACCCAGCCTCACCCAGGCCTCACCCGGCCTCACCCAGCCTCACCCGGCCTCACCCAGCGTCACCCAGCCTCACCAGCCAACCAACACTTAATCAGGACCAGCAAGCAGACACACACACACACACACACACACACACCCCACTTCAACTGGGACTAGGAAGAAAGAAACTGGGAGAAAAAGGAGGGGCCTCGGCTGGTGGGAGGCCTCAGGGGCGGGAGCTGGGAGGAAGGACTGGCCCAGGAGGCGTCCTGGTGACCCCCCTCTCTCTGCCCCGTGCCCCTCAGCCTCTCCCAGTCCAGCCACGCAGAGTACCTGCTACTCTGAGGCCAACTCAGAAAATAAAACCATTCACCCGCCCAGGGGACAAGGAGCTTTTACATAAATAAAATCCTCCTGTATCCTTTCTGCTGCCGTCAATCCTCACTTTTACCTGTTCCCATTGACTTTTAGAGAAAGGAGGAGGGAGGGAGGAGAGGGAGGGAGTGAGTGAGGGAGGGAGCCATTGATGGGGAAGATGCTCCCCTCAGCTTAGAACCTGCAACCCAGGTGCATGCCCTTGACCGGGAACGGAACCCACAACCCTTTGCTGAGCAGGCCGGTGCTCTAACCACTGAACTACCGGCCAGGGCAAGCCTCTTTTATCCTCAGAAAAAACGAGAGAAAGAAGCTGCAGGGGCTTCTCGCTGCTGAGACAACGCTTATGCCCATGTCTCAGTGAGCAGGGAGCTCTCGCTCGGCTTTTTCCATCTTCTCAACAGCTTCCCTTCCTTCACTCCCGGGCCAGCCAGCGTGGGCCTGCATGCCTGCCCTCTGCACCCTCCCCCCCCCCCCCCCCCCCCCGCTCCTCCCTGCTTCCTACCAGCCGGCTCCCTCCCTGCCCCACTCGGCGCTGACTCACCACGGGGTCAGCTCCCCTCCTGCCAGCGCTCACCTCCCTCTTCCTGTCTCGGTTTCATGGGATTTTAAAAAGTCACGTCTCCGGGCTAGACTGAGCCGTGAGAGCAGGTGCCCCTGACACTCCCCTACCCCCCTACCCCCCCCCCCCCATCTGCCAGGTTCCTGGCCTCCTGCCCAGCACGGACACGTGGCCTGTCTGGTCCGTATCCGCTGGGTGAGCGAGAACGTGAGTGAATGGATGAGGACGGTCATCAGAACGGCAGCTCCTACGTGGTGGGCCGGGCACGTGAAGTGGGTCTGTAACTCCAGGCGGCCGGGGCCGAGTCCACGTCTGCACCTGCCGGGACGCCCCATCGCGCCCACCCCATCTGTCCTCCCGCACGGCCACCCCCAGGCCCCTCCTCGGACCCGAAAGGGCTGGACGTCTGGGCCACTCTGGCAGCCGGGACAGGGGCCTGGGCTGTTCTCTGGCCCGGGGCACGGACTTACATCGCAGCTTCTCGTCCAGAGTCCCCCTGGAGGTCACCGACAGCGCCTGGATGAACTCCGAGAACTCGATCCGCCCATCCTGGCCGGAGAGAGGGGCCACCTGGTCAGGCCAGACCGTGGGCAGGTGGTGGGGAGCGGCAGCAGGCGCCGAGAGCGTGGCAGACAGACGCCACACGGAGAGGGCGGCGGGGAAGGAGAGAGGGACAGAACCGGGAGCGGGGAGGGGAGGGAGTCGGACTGGAGATGGGACAGGTTGGGCGGGCGGGCGGGCGGGGCCGGAGGACGGGGAGAGGCCACAGGGAAGACCACGAACAGGCACCATCTCTGGGCGGAGCTGCCTGGAGGTCCCCTCCCCCGGACCTGGAACCACAGGCTGGGGGCTCTTGAACAGGATAGAGGCCATGCAGTCCTGCCCCTTTCTCAAATGGGGAAACTGAGGCCCGAAGCAGGGGCGTGGGAACCAGTCACGGTGAACCCACCGTGAGCACCGGGGAGCCAGAATCAGAGGACGGCGGGCGCCCCAACCAGGGACCCGCCGGCTGCCGGCGGCCACTGCTAGGAGGGGCCAGGAGACAACTCAGATAAGCCTGGAAACTGGTGCTCCGTGAAAGGCCCACACTGTCTGATTCTCAGACCTCAGTTTCCTCATTCGCAAACGGGGGTATTCACATGACACATGCATGGGCTGTAAGCCTTCACATGAAGGGCTGCACATGTCCAGTGGACGGCTGTGCCGATGATAACGCCCGTGACTGCCCCTGGAGGCATTTGCATTTGGTGCTAGTTAGAAAAAGATCGAGATATACATGTGCATGCATGTACACATACGTGTGTGTGTGCACACGGTATAGATGTGTACACACGTTATCTCTGTGTGGTGCTTGTGTGTGCATGCACTCGTGTGTGTCTGTGTCTGTGTGCTTTTGAGTGTGCACACGTGTTGTTCCTTCTCCCGGAGGGAGCACGGGGGGGGGGGGTGGAGGGGGGGAGAGCGGGTGTGGAGCGGCCGCAGGAACCCCAGAGCCGAGCCGCAGCTGTGGGGGGCGGGGGGGGGGGGGGAACCCGGCCGGCAAGGCCCTGCCAGCCCGGCTCACCTTGTTCTCGTCGAAGACGTTGAACACGAAGGTGGCGAACTTGGTGGGGTCCCCGAAGGGGAAGAACTGCTTGTAGATCTTCTGGAAGCCGGCCGAGTCCAGCTGCCCGCTGGGGCAGTCCTTGATGAAGCCCTTGTACCTGCGGACAGACAGGCCGTGAGGGGGGCCAGGGGCCCCGCATTGCCCCTGCCGGGAGCGCCCGCCTCCGGGCTGAGGTCCCCTCCAAAGACAGGCTGCCTGCCTCCGGGCTGAGGTCCCCTCCAAAGAGGGGCGCACGGGGTCCCAGCACAGGCTGCCGTCCAGGCACGGCTCCCCACACTGCCTCTCCCGAGCTGTGTGACCTGAGGCCGGTGACCGCACCTCTCTGAGCCTCATTTGTACAGGGGCTAAGAGTCGCATGAGAAGTCACTGGACAGTGTGCACAGAGCAGCTGGCCATCAGCCCTGCTCCCCACGGGGGGGAAGGGGGGGCTGAACAAAACCCACCAACGACCTCCCACCACCACACTCCTGCCCAGAGCAGTTCTGCCCCCTCCTCCAGCCCCCCCCCTTTCTCCCCGGAGCCCCTCCTCCCGGTGCTGGCCGCGTTGGCGGGCAGAGCCACCATATGGGGCCGGCAGCTGGCTCCTCCCACACGCCTGCAGCCCAGTGCACAGGCACCCCGCTCCCGGTCTGTTCTCAAGGCCCGTGTGACAGACGCGGAGCCGCAGGGCGGTTACTCGGAAGGAACCTGGTTTGTTCCGAGTGGCCTTGTCCGCCGTGGACCCCGGTGCCCAGCACAGAGTCCCCAGACACCCGACGAACGGCAGCCCAAACCCCGGCTCTGCCATAAGCTGGCTGTGCGACCTCGGGCAAGCACCCTCGCCTCTCTGAGCCTCAGCCTCCTCTCCCACAAAGAGGCTGTTATCACACCCGTTCTGTCGGGACTCAGATGGTGCATGAGCTCAGTTGGCATGAAGAAGAAGATGGGGCTCCAGGCTGTGCAATCCTGCCCATCGGTTTTGCAAATGAGGAAACTGAGGCCCGGAGCTCCCCCAGGGCCAGGCAGGGTGGCTGTCAGCCTGGAGTCGCCTGGGGCGGAAGCCAGGCCTCCGGGGACAGAGCGCCCAGGAGCAGAGCGGGCAGGGTCTCAGGACCGTGCCCTGGGGTGCTGTCCGCTCCTCCGAGGAGGGTCCCGGCACCGAGGGAAGCGGAGGGCGGGTCGCCATCCCCAGCCGCGGCTCTCACCTCCCTGGGCAGCTCTGTGCCGGGCCTCTGCGGCCCCCGTCTCCGGGAACAGCGCCGGCGGCCCTGGGAGCCGGGTGCGGCGAGGCCCATGGTGTGGGTGAGAAACCGAGGCTCACAGCGGGTAGACTGAGTCCCCGCGTCCCAGGCGGGAGCCCAGGTGGGTGGGGTGAGGAGCCCAGAGGCGCAGAGACTGGATGGCGGAGGGCCTTCCCCACTTGGTGGGGGCCCCTCTCGCCTCTCTCACGAGCCAGGGGAGGGCTTGGGGCTGGAAGTCGCTGGCGGGCCATGACCGGGGTCCAGGGATGGAGGGCGCTGTGAGGAAGCCAGGACTCCCGCCCGTCAGAGAGCACCCAGGGCTGGGGGCGGGGGGTGGGCGCTGGGCACACAGGACCCGGCATGGGGGGCCCTGAAGAGGGAGGCTCGGGGATGAGCTGTGCCTTAGGGGGAGGGGGAGGGAGGAGAGCGGAGGAGTTGGGGTGGGACACGCCCAGGTGCGCACAAGGCCAGGACACAGAGCTGGGGCCCCATGGCCCCAGGCCCCCATGGCCCTGGCAGGAGGAGGGGGAGGCCTGGCACCAGGACTTAGTGATCAGAGAGGGGGCTCACTCCGCTGTCACCCCCGGCTCTGGGTGCCAGGATCGGGGCCGCACTCCCCCGGCTCCCAGAGCTCATTTCTGCAGCCGAGTGCGCCGTGTATGTCTGAGTATTTCTAAAGGCGTTTAAAGCAATGAAGAGAAAACAAAAGGCCCCCAGCGGAGCCTCCTGGATGCTCCCTGCGGGGGTGGTGGGGAGGGGGGGAGCCTCACAGCCCCCCTGCCTCTGCCTCCGGGGAGGGGAAGCTGTTTGCTCAGGGCCTCAGCCAGAGCCATAGCAGCGGCTGCAGCTGTGGTGGGGCTGGCAGGGGCAGCCCTAGAGCATTAATGAGGGCTGGGGGCTGGGGGCTGGGGGGCTGAGGGGCTGGGGGGCTGGGGGCTGGAGGGTTGGGGGCTGGGGGGCTGGGGGGCTGGGGGCTGGGGGGCTGGGGGGCTGAGGGGCTGGGGGGCTGGGGATCTGGGGGGCTGGAGGGTTGGGGGGCTGGGGGCTTGGGGGGCTGGGGGGCTGGGAGGCTGGGAGCTGGGAGGCTGGTTCCAGGGCATCCTCCCCAGAGAAGCCCCGGGTGGGGAGAGAACCCTGGAAGCGACAGCTGCGCTCTCCGGCGTCTTGGAAAGGGAGAGGGAAGAGGAAATCTGCTTTTCACAAAAACACGGAGGCCCCTTACACAGCTCCCCCGCCGAGCGCCGGGCTTTCCCCCGGGCTCCCACGGCCTTCTGTTCCGCCGCGCCAGCCGTGTCCCCAGGGACGCCAGGCACTCCGTGTCCCTCCGGCCCCGCGGCCCCCGAGCCCAGCACGGCGTGGCACAGAGCAGGTGCTCAGCAAAGATTTACCGAACAAACCACCCAACAAGTGACTGAGTAAATGAATGCGCGAACAAATGAAGGACGCGGAATGCCAATGCACGAACCCTGGCCAGGACCCCGGGGTCCCCTTCCGGCTCAGCTCCTCTGGGCCCCGAGGACGCCGCCCAGCGCTGCCGCGGCCTCCTTCCCCATAGGCCCGGCTGCCGGGACTTCACCACCTGCCCCCGCAGAACACTGCTCGCTGGGACCCACAGGGCACCGAGCCCGCCCCCTCCGTGCCCATCGCCCTGTGCCCGGAGTTTGGCCTGGCAGCTGCGCTCTCTGCAGCGGGGACGGCGGGAACCAAGGAGATGGACGGGGCCCTGAGAGCCGGATCCCAGCTGGTCAGCCCCGCGAAGCTGGGCTGGCAGCACCTGCCCCTGGGACCCCGTGTTCTCTCCTCCAACAGCTCCCGCCCCCTGCGTGCCCCTGCGCCGCCTGCAGCCCGGGCTTCAGAGGGCCCTGAGGAGGGCTCCCAACACATCCAGGCGTGACGCCTTCTCCTTCCTCCTCTCCCGCCCCACCCCCTGCCTGAGGCTTCGTGGGGTTTCCCAGAGCAGGAGCCGGCAGGTCTGAGCCCTCAGAGCCTGGAGGAGGCACGAGCTGGACCCAGACTCCACACACACACACACACACACACACACACACACAGCAGTGTGACCTGGGCACGTGCCTCCGCCCCTCTGATCCTCAGTTTCTTGGTCTATAAAATGGGATCATCTGGCCCGGGGGCTGGGTTAGGCCTGCGAAAGCCTTTGGACTGGCCCTGCCAGGGCACTAGGGTGAGTTCGTGGAAGGTCTGACCAAATACAGAGGCTCGTTTTTAAGCGGATCCTTCTGCACGGCCCGCCAACGCTGCTGTAAACATCCAATGGCCCTTGGCAGGAAAAAGGTCCCCGCCCCTGCTGACTGACTTTCCCCGGAGGCCGCGTGGACTTAAGTATCAGCACCGTGCCCAGCCCCCAGGGGGCGCCCGAGGCCGCGCACTGCGAGGATGGCCCCGGAGGCGGACAGCTGGCCCTGCTGGGGCGGCTGCAGGTTCCTCCTGCGCCAGCCACTATTTCTGTGACAGTACAGCCAGGTCATCTGGCTGCTATAAAGGTGATAATAGCATTATGTAAACACTGCAAAACAGGAAATATAGGAGAGAAAAAACACTAAACGCCGGCACCACACAGCGGGTCCTGTCTCATGCTGGACACACCCGCCCGGAGGTCCGTGCTGAGCTCTCAGCGGTGACAGGGGAGACGCCAAGACCTGGGGGAGAGGGGACGGCAGGGGGACAGGAGAGGGGACGGCAGGGGGACAGGAGAGGGGACGGCAGGGGGACAGGAGAGGGGACGGCAGAGGGGACGGCAGGGGGACAGGAGAGGGGACGGCAGGGCGACAGGAGAGGGGCGGCAGGGGGACAGGAGAGGGGACTGCAGGGGGACAGGAGAGGAGATGGCAGGGGGACAGCAGAGGGAACAGCAGGGGGGCAGGAGAGGGAACGACAGGGGGACAGGAGAGGGGCGGCAGAGGGGACGGCAGAGGGACAGAACAGGGGGCGGCAGGGGGACAGGAGAGGGGACGGCAGAGGGGATGGCAGGGGGACAGGAGAGGGGACAGGAGAGGGGACGGCGGGCTGCAGCTCGGAGGCAGGAGCGCGCTCAGTGTGGGTGAGGAAGCCATCGTGGCTGGTGCCCGGTGAGCAGGGGAGAGGGTGCAGGCACAGAACCGGCGACCCCCGAGGGCTGAGGGAGGCAGGGGTTCAGCTCTCTCCTAGCCCGGAAGGCACCACCATGATGAACCGAGGGACAGTGACTCGAGGTCCATGGAACTTTCTGGCAAATAAGAGATCATCTCTCTCCTGCATAAGCTCTTTAGAGAGCGCTCCCCGGCGGCAGGACGGGGTGTCACGAGGCCTAGGGTGCCGGCTTTACCAAGGGAGCCTGGCCACCTGCTCCCCACAGGCCCCCGTCCCACACAGAGCCCCGTCCTGGCTGCTCCCCGAGCCTGGAACACTCTCATTGTTCGCTTGATGAACGAACGAAAGTCCCTCCGAACGTTTCCGACAGATCAGCTCCCTTAGTCCTCACACCATCCCCTTCCAGGGTGACTATTACACCCTCACGTCTCAGCTGGGGAAACTGAGGCGCTGAGGAGTCCGATAACGTGTCCGAGGCCACTCAGCCGGGATGTGGGGACTCGGGACCCGGACTCGGAGCCCACCTGGCCGTGCTGCTCCCTGCCTCTCCGGGGAGGCCCAGGCGTGAGCCGGGAGGATGCAGGGGGCTCCGGCGGGCCCTGCTCCTGCGGCTCAGAGGCCTCGCCTCAGAAACGCCGTGGTGGGACAGTGGCTGTGAGGACGGGAGCACCGAGGACGCGTCTCCAGCCTCGGCTCCCGCTCCGAGCAGCGGCGGGAAGCCCGTCAGCCACGCCTGTCTCCTCCTGGGCCCCGTGCTAGGACCCGGACAGGAAGTGCCTCTCCCCAATGCATCCCCGCTCCTGTCACACACATGGGGAAACTGAGGCTCGGGAGTTGGATCCTTCAAGGTCCCCAGGACAGGAAGGCACAGCGGGCTCTGGCGTCCGTTCCTAAGCCACCACACCTGCTGGAGGGTGTGCACAGGCGGCGCTAACCTCCCTGCTCTCCTGACCATGCCCCCCGTGCAGGCTCACCCTGTCGGCTCCACACCCCGTGACCGAACACCGGCCGCCCTCCTCTGCCCGGCCCGGGCAGGCATCACTCATCCACGGCAGAGCTCATTCATCGCTCACTGCCGTCCTTCCGTTTGCTCCGTGACCTACGGCCGAGGCCAGGATGAGCGCTGCCATCCCAGAGGAAGCTGCGTGCCACCCCGGACCCCACCTAATCCATCATGTGGCAGAGGAGACTTCTCACAGCGACAGGACGGTGTGGCCACGAGGCGGGGCCTGGGGCCCCGAATCCTCCCTTGTCTCCGGTCCCACCCTCTCTTCTCGGCGGGCAGGGCCGGCACCAGCCCCTCCTGGCAGGGTGGTCCTCGGAGATGTCACACGAGGAGTCGCCAGCACCCATGCCCATGCCACCCAGCTGCTTTGGGTCCGAGTCCGCCTGCCATGGGCAAAGGTGGCCTGGACGGGCTTGTGGGGGAGCCGCTCCCAGAGGCCCCTCCACGTGCCCCCATCCTGGGCAACGGGACGCCTGTGTCACCAGCACAAAGCTGACGCCCCAACCCCCACCCACATCCCCAAGGGACGAGCAGCTACTCACCACTGCTGGACCTCCTTCTCGGTGACTGCAAGAGAAAGCAGAGGCGCCTGTTAGTTCAGGGATGGGTGGGTGGACGCTGGGAGCCCCCCCTTCCCCCGCCCTGCGCCGCCCCACGTCTGTCTGCCTGGGGCGGGGCTCCGCTGGCTCTGACCGAGGACATGCCCCGTGAACAGACCCAGCGGGAGCTCTGTCTGACCACACCCAGGGGGCAGCACTGGCCCAGTGCCCCTGGGCGGCTGGCAGGATCGCCAGGCACAGCCTCCGGCACAGGGATGGCTTCTCCCTGCCCTCCCGGGGGCAGTGCCCGGTGAGCAGTAACATACATCCTACCCTCCGGGTGAACACGTAACATACATCCTTCCCACCGGGTGAACACGTAACATGCATCCTTCCCACCGGGTGAACATTAACATACATCCTTCCCACCGGGTGAACACGTAACATGCATCCTTCCCACCAGGTGAGCATGTAACATACATCCTTCCCACCGGGCGAACATTAACATACATCCTTCCCATCTCTCAATCCCGGGGACAGCAGTCAGAGAAGGTGCTGGCTTCCCCAGACTCAGCTGCCCCGCCTGCTTGGAGGGGCACAGAGAGGCTGAGCCCCCCACCCAGCAGCGCCCAGCACCTGCCCCCACGGCCGCCCCCCTCCCCTGCGGCCGCCCCCCTCCCCCCGCCGTCAGCCCCGCATCCTCCCACAAGCGGATGGAGCGGTGCCGGAACCAAAGCTGAAGGAGCCCGGGAAAGCGCTGGACCTCCCACCAGGCCCCAGGAGTCCTGCACTGAACCGTGAACAAACAAAAGAAATGTTTCTTCTGGAAAGTACTGAATCGGCTCACGTTGGAGCCAAACCAACGTTTCCTGAAAAATCACTGGGTGGACGGTCCAACCGCTGTCCGCGGGGCTGGCCTCTGAGCAGCGCCAGCCGGGCCCGGCCTCCTGTCTGTGACGTGGGAAGAAGAGCGACGGCCTGACACACGAGCCATCCCAAGATGCCAATCAAAACCGGCGTGCCCGGCCAGCACAGCTCGGTGGCTGAGCATCGACCTAGGAACCAGGAGGTCAGGGTTCGATTCCCGGTTGGGGCATGCGCCTGGCTCGGTCCCCAGTGTGGGGTGTGCAGGAGGCAGATGATCGGTGATTATCTTTCATTATTGATGTTTCTCTCTTTCTCTCCATCTCCCTTCTTCTCTGAAATCAATAAAAAAATTATTTAAAAAAAACAAACTAGCCGGGACCAGTTTGGCTCAGTGGATAGAGCGTCGATCTGCGGACTGAAAGGTCCCAGGTTTGATTCCGGTCAAGGACATGTACCTTGGTTACAGGCACATCCCCAGTGGGGGGTGTGCAGGAGGCAGCTGGTCGGTGTTTCTCTCTCATCGACGTTTCTAACTCTCTGTCCCTCTCAATTCCTCTCTGTGTAAAATCAATAAAAATATATTAAAAAAAAAAAACAAAAAAAAACAAAAAAAACTAACAGGTGTGACCGCTCCGGAATCCTGGCGGAGGGAATGTGCCCCACATGGGTTGGTGGAATGCATGTGTGAGTGAATGAATCATGAGTGTGTGAATCATTGTATGAATGAACAAATGAACAAATGCACGGATGAATGTTTGAGTGAATATGTGAGCATAGGAGCGAATGAATGAATGTATATATGAGCCAATGAATGCATGAACGAATGAATGAGTGCATGGACGAACAAAGGACAGGAAGGAGGTGTTAGGTGGAGGTCAGGTGAGGGAAGGGAAAAGGAGGCCCGAGGAGGTGCCCTGAGCTGTGTGCACCCGATCAGACCGGAGGTCACTCTGCAAAACCGGCGTGAAGCAAGCTTTAGCACGTGCCAGGGAGCAGGTGCCACGGCAAGCCCCGGCCTGCCCAGGTGCCAGGGCCTTCGTGCTTTGGCTCGGCGGCCCTGATAACAAACGCGGGAAGGAGGGAAGAGAGCACTCCTCTGTCCTGGCTCCAAACGGGGAAACTGAGGCACAGCGGGGCCAGCACAGACGTGGTAAGGAGAGGGTCTGAACGGCCCGACCCTCAGCCTGGAAGCCTCCATGAGGCCCCGCCTCATCAGCACGCCCCTCCCACAGGCACAGTCAGAGCCAGAGACTCGGTTAAAAAAAAATCGCGCCGAAACCGGTTTGGTTCAGTGGATAAAGTGTCAGTTTGGGGACTGAAGGGTCCCGGGTTCGATTGTGGTCAAGGGCATGTACCTTAGTTGCGGGCATATCCCCCGTAGGGGGTGAGCAAGAGGCAGCTGGTCGATGACTCTGGTCGATAACTCTCTCTCATCGATGTTTCTAACTCTCTATCTCTCTCCCTTCCTCTCTGTACAAAATCAATAAAATATATTTTTTTAAAAAAAACCTTTAAAAAAAATCACAATTTTCCGAGAAAGTGTTGGTGGAGGATACCAGCTGGGAAAGGGGCCAGGCATTGGGTGGGGAAGGGGGAGGCAGAGAAGGAAGGCGCCCCCAGACCTGCTGCCCACCCCTGGCAGTGAAGGGCAGCAGGGGCTGAGGGACTGAGGCCCACAGAGACAGCAGAGACTGGGCACACCACAGCCAGGAGCCTCGGGGCCCGGCCTCCGGGGTTAGACTCGACCATCTGGGTTCAAATCCAGCTCCACGGCCTATGAGCTGTGTGACCTTGGACAACGTGCTCCCCCTCTCTGAGCCTCGGTTTCCTCGTCTGTAGAATGGGCTTTTGTAAGGAGTAACATGCCTGGTGCTCTTCACCTGCACTAAAGGTATGATCCCATTTCCCTGATGAGGAGCCTGAGGTACCGATGGGTCCGCTAACTGGCCTGAAGTCACGCCAGGAAATGACAGGCCGGGCTGGGCCTCCAGAGCCCAGCATGGATGCCCAATTAAGTACCCCTCCCAATTTGAGTCAGCCAGCGATCTGTGTGACCTTGCGTGACCTTGGTACTGTGTGGCATAAACAGCAGGAGCTGGGGCACAGGGCGTGGGTGGTGCGGCCTCCTGGGACCAGAGGCTTCCCAGGAATCTCCCCGCTCAGAAGCCCTCACCCCCCCCCCCGGCCCCACAGTCACCCAGCAGCCCCCCTTTCTCCGCCAGGAAGAGGGGACCGGCTGGGGGGGGGCAGAGCGGGAAGGCGGCCCTGGTCTAGCAGGGCGGGGCCTCCGTAGCGGAGGGACACACAGCTGCTCCCTGCGCTGTGATGTCCATGTTTCTCTGGATTTTTCCAAATACAAAAGGGGAGAAATGTTTGTTCTCATCAGCTCACAATCCGTGGGCTCCCTTCCCCAGCGCCAGAGGCCGGGTCCTGTCCAGGGTGCTGACCCTGAGCAGCTCCGACCGCCACAGGCACTGGGACAAAGAGGGGTCCAGGGGACACCGATGGGGTCCCTCTGCCTCCACCCTCCACCCAGACTCCCCGGCTCAGGGTCCCAGCTAAGCCGCACCGCCACCCCCATCCCCCAGTCTCCATCCCTGTGTGAAATGAACAGGCAGCGTATGTCCTGGGCGGGTCCACATTCAGGCTCAGGGTTCAGGGAAAAGGGCCAGGCAGGAAGGCAGACCCTCCCCAGTGCGGCCAGCACCCACCCCTGTGCCCTGACCACACCCAACCCTGCAACCCCCCAGCTCCAGGCTCGGTACCTGCTGCCCCCTCTGCACCCGCTCATGTGGCGCCCAATCCCCGCTCGGTGTCCCTCTCCCAGGCAGCCCCCCCGACCCTGTGGCCCCTCTGACGCCCCCTGCCTTGGGAACCACTGCCTCACAGAGCCTGTCTTCCCACAGGAGCCGGTCAGACAGGGCTCAGCCTGGGAGGGGGTGAGGGGGGAAGGGGAGGGGGTAAAACTGAGCGGTCCCGGGGCTGACTGTGGCCTTGGGTAACGACCCACGTGGCTGAGCAAACGGGACAAACTGCCTGTGTCCTACGAGGGCGCCTGCAGGGCTGACGCGGTGCCCCGCCCCCAGTAGGTCCTCATCTTCCCGGCTGGACGCCCCAGAGCCCTCCCGGCACGTCCTGGCATCACCCCCGGAGCCGGGCCCGTGTCCTGCCCGTGGGAGGCAGAGAGCAAACCCTGGCTGAGTCCCCCGTCACCGAGCCACGGGCCGGGCTCGGGCCGCGTCCTCCCACCCGCACACACAGTCTCAGAAGCCAGCTGCCTCTCCCGCACGCTCCCGCCCGGCCCAGGCCCGGCTCCTTAGGAACCGGGATTTACCCGGGTGTGGCCCGTCCTCTGGGCGCGGCCCTGCCCCCCACGCAGCACCGCTGGAGGCTCTGGGAGGGCACCCGTCGTGGCTATGTGTGGGCTGGGTGACTCTGGACAAGTCCCTGACCTCTCTGAGCCTCTGGGTCCTCATCGGAAGGACGGGCAGAAACACCGACGAGGCAGGGCAGAGGGAGCGGCTCCGGAGAGGTGGGTAGACCGCTCCCAGCTTGCAGCGGGCACAGAGCCCGGAGGGCATCCATCACCCCCTCCCACCGGCTTCCAGAGAACCAGGGCCTGCTGCCCGGCCCGCACCCCCAGTGCCCACCCCGGAGCCCGGAGGCCTATCCCCACTGCTCCTCCTCCTCCCCCTCCTCCCCATCTTCCCCACCCCCCACCCCCCGTCCCCCCCATCTGCCAGGAGGAGCACGGAGCCATCCTGAGCCCAGGATAAACGTGAAGTCTGGGTTTGATCTTCCCGGAGCCAAACAGCTCTCCCCAACTCAGGGTAACAAACAGCCGCTGGTGCCCCCACCGAGGGGCTGGTTGCCGGGGACCCAGGGCGGACGTCATGCACTGCCCGCCCCTCAGCCACCCTCCCGGAGCATGGTCGCTGTTGTGATTTTTAAAAATATATTTTTGTTGATTTCAGGGAGGAAGAGAGAGGGAGAGATAAAAACATCGATGATGAGAGAGAACCACTGATTGGCTGCCTCCTGCACGCCCCCTCCTGCACTGGGGATGGAGCCCGCATCCGGGGCACGTGCCTGACCGGAATGGAACCGTGACCTCCTGGTTCCCAGGTGGACGCTCAACCCCTGAGCCACACCGGCCGGGCT